AGAGACAGAGAAGGGTCTCAGTAAAAGGTAAAGGGACCCCTGACCATTAGGTCCTTTCGCAGACGACTCTGGGGTTGTGGCGCTCATCTCGCTTTATTGGCCGAGGGAGCTGGCGTACAGCTTCCGGGTCATGTGGCCAGCATGACTAAGCCGCTTCTGGCAAACCAGAGCAGCACACGGAAACGCCGTTTACCTTCCTGCCGGAGCGGTACCTATTTATCTACTTGTACTTTGACGTGCTTTCAAACTGCTAGGTTGGCAGGAGCAGGGACCGAGCAACGGGAGGTCACCCCGTCGCGGGGATTCGAACCGCCGACCTTCTGATCGGCAAGTCCTGGGCTCTGTGGTTTAACCCACAGCGCTACCCACGTCCCCTCCATTCCCCACCTTGTTTCGTATTTATTTTGTAACAGACAAACATTATCTGGACGGTATCTGTGCGGAGAGGCAAATGAAACTGCACTGCGCCGTTCAGATTAACAGGCAAGTAACGACAACTACATGTGAGTCTCAACCACCAAGTTTGCCCAGGCCCCATATATACCCCCTACGGGCTTAAAGAAGCAGACCACTTAAAACCGTCATGGCTTCCCCCATCGAATCCTGCTGAAAGCGGTGAAGAGACCCCTATTCCCTGCATATTAACTCCCAGAATTCCCTGGGGAAAGGCAGGGATTGTTAAATCACTTTGGGAATTGTAGTTTGGTGAGGGGGAATGGGGTCTCCTCACAACTTTCAGTCGGCTTAGCAAACTACAGTTCCCAGGATTCTTTGGGAGAAACCATGACTGTTTAAACCACTACAGTCATACCTCTGGTTACAGACGCTTCAGGCTGTGCGTTTTTGGGTTGTGCACCGCACCGAACCCAGAAGTACTAGAACAGGTTACTTCCGGGTTTCGGCACTCACGAATGCGCAGAAAACCAAATCGTGACTCGTGCGTTCGCAGACGCGACGCTGCGGGTTGCTAATGCTGCGGGTTGCGAATGTGTCTCCCGCACAGATCACATTCGCAATCAGAGCGTCCACTGTATGTGGAGTGTAGATGAGGCCCAAGTCTGCATATTCTTATCTTTAATTTTTTTATTCTTCATTTCAGGAGATCCCAGGGGCTTATCCCAAAGAGCGAGCAACGCATTTCCCATGTCGAACAGCTGCCTGTACATTAAGATACAGTGGTACCTCCGGTTACATACGCTTCAGGTTACAGACTCCGCTAACCCAGAAATAGTACCTCAGGTTAAGAACTTCGCTTCAGGGTGAGAACAAAAATCGCGCTCCGGCGGCGCGGCGGCAGCAGGAGGCCCCATTAGCTAAAGTGGTGCTTCAGGTTAAGAACAGTTTCAGGTTAAGAACGGACCTCCGGAATGAATTAAGTACTTAACCCAAGGTACCACTGTATTTTAAACAACTGCAATGACAAAGCAGGGGAGATAACATCTTGGACATCACAGAACCGGTGTTTCCCCTCTCTGCATTCTGCAATTGCAGTAAATTGAGATCTCTGGTGAGACTGACAAACACCCCAGGGGTGGGGACTTTTCGTTTTGGGGCTTAAGTAATTCTAGAAACCCCCAATGCTGTGTTACGTCAACATCACAGCTGACATTCACTCACCCGCTTCAGTCAAACCCTATGGAAAACTACTGGCCCAAGTATTGCAGAATGAGGGTCACCCCCCCAGCAACAGCCAAAGCTCACATGCCACCAGAGGGAAGGTGACACAGCACCCCTCGTTTCTCTGTTGTGATAACAAAAAGGAGGAGGAACACAAGCCTCCAATTGCCTTGAGCATTTGCTTTGGGGTGGATTGGGCCCGGAAAGAGAGACAGAGAAAGCACATAGGCAGCGACAACTTTGACAACATCTCCCCACCCACAACCCAACCCCACACTTAGGGCATATTGACCAAGCCCCTCACCCCCAAACACTGAAGTTGACATTGATAACGTTTAACGTTTTCCCCTCCAATGTCCTGAGACATAGATTCTCAAAGGGCCAAGCCTCCGCCATGTGCGAATGTGATAAGGAGACGCCGGAGTCGCTCCAGCACATTATGTTCACTTGCCCCTTGTTCAATGTGCCACGGGCAAATTTGTTGGGATCAATCATACAGAAACTAGAGAGTACCCCACCAAAATTCCACCTTGCCCAAATCTTGCAGGATAAGGATACCCACACGACCCTGAAAGTGGCTAGGTTCCTGGTTGCTGTCCTTACCCAAAAGCGACGCCAAGGAGCACTCCAAGCTAATTAAGGCGTAGTATGCCATTCCATCTTATAGCATTTTATTGTTATAGTGGTGTTTTAGCGGCTGGTTTTTCCCACGTGCACAAGCTGTTATTTATGTGTTGTTTTTACTTGTATGGGCCTATGGCCGTAATAAAATTTTATGTAAATTTTATGTAGTGACATTGATAAAGGTGTCCGTCTTCCTTCATGGTGTTAACACCCCCCTAGTTTGGAAGAATTGCCCTTCAAAAGATCATTAAGAAGCCTTCTGGAATTAAATCGAAGTAACAGGCAGGCATTCCATTAGGCTGCCTCGTTCCATCAGGCTGTGGTAAAGCTGGGAAGCGGAACTCATCCCATCGGCCAGGAAAAGGTTCCTCAACCTGGGCCCCAGGAACGGTTTTTCCCTGCCACAGTTTGACCACTGAACTTGCGCACGATGAAAAAGAAAGCCCCCCGAAATCTCTGCAAATTGCTTCTCTTCTGCTGCAACCGGGCTCTGGCGGATTTAGAACGAGGGTTCTAGGGCACAAGCTTCAAAACAGGCCTGAGACTCGGCACGCAGACAAATTTCAAATTAAGGCTCTGTCTGCCAGCAGTGCCAACTTAGCCCCACAAATGTGGGCACCTGGGGTTGTGGGTGCCACGCAGCGTGCATGGCCCTGGCACCAAAATTTATGGATACCTGGCCCCTTAATGGGGAATTCTGTGGGTGATCTGGCACCCAGGGCCCCAGGGAACTGGTACCTATGCTCTACACATTTAAGGAAGTATCATGGCTTCTCCCAAAGAATTCTGGGGACTGTAGTTTGTGCTGAGAACTGTGAGGAGACCCCTATTCCCCTCACCAGCTCAGTTTAATAGTCAATCCCTCTTCCCAGGGAATTCTGGGTACTGTAGCTCTGTGAGGGGAATAGAGGTCTGCTAAGAATTCTCTTAGGGACGCGGATGGCGCTGTGGGTTAAGCCTAGGACTTGCCGATCGGAAGGTTGGCGGTTCGAATCCCCGCGATGGGGTGTTGCTCGGTCCCTGCTCTTGCCAACCTAGCAGTTCGAAAGCACGTCAAAGTGCAAGTAGATAAATAGGTACCGCTCCGGCGGGAAGGTAAACGGCGTTTCCGTGCGCTGCTCTGGTTCGCCAGAAGCAGCTTAGTCATGCTGGCCACATGACCCAGAAGCTGTACGCCAGCTCCCTCAGCCAGTAAAGCAAAATGAGTGCTGCAACCCCAGAGTTGGCCACGGCTAGAACTAATGGTCTGGGATACCTTTACCTTTAAGAATTCTCTTGCACCCTTAAACTACAGTTCCCAGGATTCTCTGGGGGGAGCCATGACTGTTTAAAGCTGTAGGATACTCCTTTAAATGCATAGTGCAGGGACTACCTAAGAGGTGGAAATCACTGTGAGAGACCATTGAACTCCTGGGTGGCCAAAACATCACTCATGCTTTCTAGTTCCCCTTGTAATAAAACGAATTAAAATCGTGACTGACGTGTTGGAGGGCACATGAGATAAGGAAGTGACATCATCCCTGCTGCAGCTTCAAGATAAGGTTAATCTAAAGAATTCCACATATACACAGACATTTCGCTTTTGCAGTAAGCCCAAAGAGCTCTGCAAAGAGAGAGAGAGTTCTGCCATGTTCCATGATAAGTGAGAAAATCTGCGTGCAAAAATCTCAGCCCTCTGGTGGAATTTGGAAGTTGCAAGTGGCAGCGGCATGCAATGGTTAGGTCTTACGCCTTCAGGGTGACAGATACAAAGAAAAAGTCCTTTAGACAAGACCTGGGTCAAAAAAATATTTACAAGCCTGTTCCAGGGCTTTCATAGGAAACCAGTAACGTCACAATTCATTCACAGCATCAAAGAAGACCGAACAAAACTTAAGTTCATAAACCAAAGAACCTGTGGATTGGGTGAGCTAAGTGAGGAATGTCACGAACTGGGGGGGGGGGTCTCCTCTTTCAGCTCAAACTGGCTGGAGAAAAGCAAGAACTCCCAAGCATGTGCAGAGATCGTTTTCAAAGCAGATATTAGGGAGAATCATCTCCATCAGTGGAGATTCTGTCTGACGACAGAAGAGGAGAGAAGCGGAGGGAAAATGTTGCGAGGGGCCATGAAAAGCTGGTGTAGCCCACAGAAGCTGTAATTCCCCTCACAATGCTCTAAATCCCAGAGTGGTTTAACAATCAAGACTTCTTCCCAGGGAATTCTGGGAACTGTAGGTTCTTTTGAGGGGGATACGGGTCTTCTAACCACTCTTGGCTCCTTTAACTACAGTTCCCATGATTCTCTGGGGGAAGCAATGACTCTTAAAGCAGTATGATACTGCTTTAAATGCATAGGGCAGACGGGGCCTTACTTCTAACTAAACACACAAAGTAGTACAGTGTACATTTATCCAATACGGGGGGAAATCTTTTACAATACAGGCGGCTCCCTGTTTATTGGGGGGGGGTTACGTTCCAAGGCATCACACCTTTAAGTAAAATTGTATATATATTTGAAATACCACTGAAAAAGTCTGCAAAGACACGGTTCTGCCCCGTCCCCTTCCGTCCCTTTTTGCGAAATTTTCAGGTCACTTCTGGGTTTGGCGTTATATGCAGTCAGGCACATTACCCAGCCGCTGCCTGTACCCAGGCCACAGATCTACCATTAATTTTAAAATAAATAAGTAAATTCAAGGGTACGCAGAGAGAATTTTAGACAACGAAACGGCTCCGTTCTCCTGACCGGGAAGCTCGGACGGACGTTCCCACTGTCTTACCTGAACGACGTCTTTCCTCACGTTGACGAGATACAGCCAGTCGCTGAAGCGCGGGTAACTGTTCAGCTCCACTGTCCTGTCATTCAGGGGGACATTCAACTTGCACTGAAGCTGGGTGCCAATATAACGGACAAGTTTCACCTGCCAAGGGAGAGGAGGGAAAAGGATCACAAACGGCACCAGGAAACATCTGAGAGCACAAACCGGTAACCCATTAATACACATGGTTATTATTATCATTAGCATTTGCACCTGGCTCTTCGGCTGAAAAGACTCCCAGGGTGGCTTACATGCCATCAGTTTTAAAAAGGACAGCCCCTACCTGCATGCTTATGACCTGAAATGCATAGCACGCAAGGAAAGAGGACAGGGAGGGAAGAGGAAAAAGGCAAGCTCGGGCACCAGCTCTTAAACAGTAGTTCTTATAAGGACCAGTGGGCGTAGAAACAACTCAGTGGAAGGAGGCACTTCTAGAATCACAGAATTGTAGAGTTGGGAGGGGTCTCCGAGGGTCATCTAATCGAGCCCAGCGCAATGCAGGAATCTCAAAAGATAATAGCACTTAATGGAGCTGGTTCTTCAGCAAAGCTAATGAAATACGCCCTGCTTCCCATTTCTCCCACAGGTAAATGATTTGGCAGAACTTCCAGCTTCTCAAGCAAGAGGGATGAAGTGCCCAGGCTCTTTTCTTACAAGTTCTTTTAGTGAGGCAGCTTCTTTTCAGAAAAATAGTTTCACTTGCCCCAAAGGAAGGTATTTTTGACTGCAAGGGGAGCTGGTCCATTAGGGCAAAAGGGGCCTTAACCAACCCCCTCCTGACTGCCTTCTTGTTTACAACCAGTCCGGGGTGGGGGGTGGGATGGGGGACGACACACTAGCTATCCACTTCTGCCCTCCTTAATCCACACAGAACTCAACAAGATAAGGGCAAAGCTACAATTATTTGGTTCCACCTGTCACAGGCCTCCGGCCGATGTTCACTTATTCATTCCATGTCCAGGACAGAAACTGATCCAGCAAACATGATTGAAATTTGCTGTTGTTGTTGCTTTCAGTTCACAAGCATATCCAATAACATTATTTTTTCTATTTGCATTGTGTTTCCTTAGCACCAAACTACACGCAGCGGAATGGCCGCAAGGGCAATGAAACGTACACAAATAATTGCACAAATTATGTGATTTTCCTACAGCAGATGAATCATGCAGTTTTTGGCAGCAGATGAACTGCAGTGGAATGGCAACCACGCTGCAGGCAGCAAATACAGGAACAGAAAGCAACGACTTCTTAGAATTCCTGCTACCTAATTCTGCTACCTAATACATTTAACTGGAGGTGCCAGGAGACTGAAGCAAGAGCCTTGAACACAGAGTATCTGGAAGGTACCAATTTGGGGAAGACTGATCTAGCCAATAAGAAGGATGAAAGTGGACTGGGCCACTTTCAGACATATGCATTCAAACATCCAGCCCATTCCTTTGTTGTAGCAACCTGTGGATTCCTTTTAACGCACAATATTTGTATTTTTAATGTCTCTCTCCCCTGGCCCCTGCACGGACATTTCACAACATGTATTTCCGTATGCATTTTATTCTAAAATACTGGGGGGGGGGAGTTGGATGCATTTAAATCAATGCAATTTTTTGAGCCCAGAATTGTATTGCAAATCTGGAGAAGGGTGTGAAAGCCAAAGGCTAACACTGTTCCGATCCACATAGTATCAGCCCAAGAACTGCAAATCTAGCCTGCTCTCTTTAAAAAGTGTAGGCTAAAACCTAGCTCCCCCAACATCCCTGAACTCCAAACATCCTGTTTCCTCCAGTGGCCAATCGGTTGCCTCTGGGCAGCCCCCCAGCAGGGAAGAAAGGAAACAGTTCTCTCTCCTGTCATTGCCCCACAGCGGATGAATAAGGAGAAGAGCAAAACTCAAGACCTTTTACACACACACACACACACACACACACACACACACACTCCTTTCAGTCTTGGTCAAATCTATGAAGCCTTGCAAATGTTATCCCAGACGTGTAAATACTCCTTATCAGCGATGGAGAAGGCTGACTCAGCTAAGACAACATTTGAAATGACCCGAAAGATACATTTCCCGCTGATTCAGCACCGTGGTGGGAGCGGCACCGGTTCCATGGGAAAGGCCCACACAATCTGATTTCGCCTTCATATTTAGAATAGATCATTCACTCACATATACACGCGCGCACACACACACACACACAGCCCCGCAGGTTGTCTCTGCTAAGCGATGTCATCTCTGCAGCTGCGATAACGTCTAAACAACCACGTACATCAGGTCTGCCCTGGAAAGATTTCCATTCAGTGGGCAGGCGTTCCTATTCTCCCTCTATTTTTTTTTACTCTCTTCCTTTTTTTAAGGCAAAGGCTGCTGCTCCTCCCTATAGCTTTTCTGGGAATGTTTTTGCAAGTCTGTTACAAGCCTGGGAGATTCAGGAGAAAGGAAGAGCACTTTTCACAGCGAAAGGATGGATTTTGCTCCCACAAGAGGCAGTGATGCCCAGCAAGGTGGGATTTTAAAAAAAGAAAGATTACTGTAGTTCAGTTCTTGGAGAATATCAGCAGCTACTAAGCCAGGATGGCTGTGTTCTACCTGTGCTGTCAGGGGAAGTCATGGCCCTGAATGCTACTTGCCAGGGATCAAAGGTGGAGAGCGCGCTTTTGTGCTCTCAGGTTTTGCTTACAGGCTTCCCTTAAGGGCATCTGATTGCCTGTGGATGCTATAGTTGAGATCCCTGCGTTGCGGGGGGCAGGACCAGGTGAACCCCCGGGGACCCTCCTGACTCTGCAATTCTAGGATTCTAGACTGCTGGACTTGATGAGAAAGTGGCTTGAAAGCCAGTAGGGATCTCATTATGCTCTTTCGTATCGCACACTGCATAGTGCGTGTGTGTTTGTAATGTAACTCAGCGTGGAGAACAGGGCATTCCTGCCTGGGCTATGATCAAATCCAGGATGTTTTTCTCCAACACAGTGGCTGAATTATGTGCATCTAGATAACTTACAACACAGACCAGGGTTTCTCAAAGATCCGTAGGTCACTGAGTTTATCAAGACGTCATCAAAGCCAACCCAAATTCTTAGGAAGTTATCTGAGAGTCCTCCTGCTCTTTCGGCTGAATGCCCCCCCCCCGATTCCTGCATTGCAGGGGGTTGGACTAGATGGCCCTCGTGGTCCCTTTCCAACTCTACAGTTCTATGATCCCTGATTGGCCATGCTGGCTGGGACCGATGGGTGTTTGGAGTTCCACAACCTCTGGCCAGAGATCTCAAGAGAATTCTGACGAGAATGGAAACAGGAGCTGAAACGGCCAGCATTTGCTTAGACATCCCATGTCCGCAAAATCAACCTGCCTTGGTATTCATCAATGCTGATGCTTTCAGTTCACAAATGATACACAATTGTTTGAAGTCCCCTGCTCCTTTCCGTCCTCATTTGCTTTGTGTTTCCTTTGCGCTGGAATGAATGGGTTGGAACGGTATGACCGTAACGTTTACGGAATTAACGGCGCAACTTATGCCATTTCGCCATAGTGGACAGTGAGGTGAGCAGCGTGGGTTTCGGGCAGAAGACGGACTGCAGCGGAATGGAGACAGCGCTGGAAGTGACGAGCACAGGGCGGAATGGAAAATGATGCCCTTCTTACAACCCTATTCCCACTCAGACACAAACCTCCAGTGCAGATAACAGAATGGTAAACTGTTTGCATTTCCCACCTCTAGGGCCAAAAGATATTGGACTCAGCTCTGAGCCTGGGACGCATAAAAGCCTCATCTGTCCTTACAAGGCAGAGGTTTGCTGGCTCCCTTTGGCTTACACAGCACGGGAACACAGGGAAGTGAGTTGCACTGAGTCACAGAGTCTCTGCTGCACCACTTGGATTCCCATTGCTCACGATGCACCACATTCTGTTCACACAAGGCAGACCCGAGATTCCAAACTGAGGACGGTGGGGTGTGCTTTGCACGAGCAGCGAAGCTGACTAAAACATCAGCTTCTGGGGGCAAGTGAGGTTTTCTCACTTCCCACACAAGTTACTTTCACAGGTCTTGAGAACAGCATGCTGGAATTTTAAGCAGGTTTTTATTTTTACGTTTTTCAGGGTGTCAAAGGGTGTGTGTGTGAGAGTGAGAGAGAGAGAGAGAGAGATGCAGTCGAAAGCAAAAAACAAAAACCCACAGTCAGTCGCGACGAGGAGAAATTCAGACAGAACAACAGAGTCAAAGAGCACCTTACACAAACTGACTTAGAATCATAGAATCATAGAGTTGGAATAGACCACAAGGGCCATCGAGTCCAACCCCCTGCCAAGCAGGAAACACCATCAGAGCACTCCTGACATATGGTTGTCAAGCCTCTGCTTAAAGACCTCCAAAGAAGGAGACTCCACCACACTCCTTGGCAGCAAATTCCACTGTCGAACAGCTCTTACTGTCAGGAAGTTCTTCCTAATGTTTAGGTGGAATCTTCTTTCTTGTAGTTAGGATCCATTGCTCCGTGTCCGCTTCTCTGGAGCAGCAGAAAACAACCTTTCTCCCTCCTCTATATGACATCCTTTTATATATTTGAACATGGCTATCATATCACCCCTTAACCTCCTCTTCTCCAGGCTAAACATGCCCAGCTCCCTTAGCCGTTCCTCATAAGGCATCGTTTCCAGGCCTTTGACCATTTTGGTTGCCCTCCTCTGGACACGTTCCAGTTTGTCAGTGTCCTTCTTGAACTGTGGTGCCCAGAACTGGACACAGTACTCCAGGTGAGGTCTGACCAGAGCAGAATACAGTGGCATTATTACTTCCCTTGATCTAGATGCTATACTCCTATTGATGCAGCCCAGAACTGCATTGGCTTTTTTAGCTGCCGCGTCACTTGTTCATAAATTGAAGGACTGGGCTACTTTAATGGTGGCGGGTGACCATTGAGGCTGATAGGGAGACTGAACATTAGGTAGAACCAGTAGGTGGAGCTGACTATTTCTCCCCATGCCTCCATTCTCCTGGCAAGTCTGCAAGGGGCAACACCAAGACGAAGGGGGAGGAAGCGGACAGGCCATGCCACCATCTCGACTGGGTGTAAGAAGACAGGCAAGGAGGTGGGGGCCTAGTGGGGC